TCCGGCTCTTTTACAAAAGGGGCTGGAAATACTGACTCCGCTCCTAATACGCCTCTCCAGGGCCTGCCTCGCATATGGTCAAGGGCAACATTCCTGGCGTAAGTGGTATTCATTCCCAAACCAGGACGCTATAGCTACGAAGCGGCTAAGGATTACAGACCCATCAATCTAACCTCGTTTACTTCACATAATCGTAACTTGCTGCTTCTGGTTGAGTTAAGACATCGGAAGCGCACTCTCGACAGGCCTTTACAATGGCACAAGACGTGAGTTACCGTTTCTTCCTCCTCTTGACAGAACCTACAATCTGTGTTTTCTTCTACTCCCATCGGATTTAAATGTCTATTCAATCGGCAGTGGCCTGCGATCCCATCATTACTCTGACAGCTCTCCGATCATGGCTTAGTAGGTCTGCTGTTAGTTTAGCCGGTGGGGTTTTCAAGAACTTCTTGGCCTGTTTTTGTCCCGGTATGTGTGTGCACCATTTTTAGGATTCTCTTTTCACCCATTTCTTAATAGATGCTTTGGCAATATGCTTGGCCACCCCACAAAAGGGTTCAGATCCGGTCATTCGCATTGACGTATCTTCTCGGGCTATTTTGTCAGCGTCTTCATTGCCCTGATAACTATCATGCAAAGGCCTGGACTGACACCATCAGGCAGGACCCTCTTTTCACCAGAAGGGATGCAATGCCAAAAACTTCAGCCCCCCTAGACAATACGACGTCGTCATCCCTGCAAGGGACCATTGGGTACATCCTGACCCAGGCTTCCTCAAGTCGCAGGGGCTTATCTGGTACACAAACAATTAAGCATAAAATTTTATTGTAGTTTCTATTATATACTTAAACAAAAATATAAATTTGATTGACGTGATAGTACTTATTCACGCCAAAAATTCATGCTACCAAGTTTTTACATTGGAAAACCACTAATTGCACTAATAGAATTAATCGCCGGAATAAAAAAATTAAAAAAAAAAACTTTTTTTGCTAGGAGATATCACTTTGGTGTAACCTTCGGGAAATTTTGACAGTAATTTTAAATTCTACTCTGATTCCTTTTTTACCGTACCTAATTGTAGCACTTCGTAATCACTTCGACCAAATTTATATTTGTGTTTTAGTATATAATAAAAACTTATATGACAATAAAATTTTAAACTCAAAAGTGTGTCACTTTCACTTACAGGGACGTTGTTTTTTTTATGAAATCAAATGCATTTTTGCTAGCCTATTGGTGAAATCGGTACATTAGCGTTATCTTCATATTTCAAATTGCATCTGTACCTTATGGACCGTTTCAAAAACTGTAATGTACTTTTATTATTAATAAAATATTAAAATTTGAATTGTGAAATGATTCAAAATTCACTTTTCCTTGAACATTTAAAATTTTCTGTATATCAGAATCCAATTTTTTTTCATTGTCAATTAAAGAAGGTTTTTCATTAACTTGACCATGACCACGGAATCATGATTTTTATTGCGAATAAAATATTTGTTCATGGTGAAGCCTTCGACCTGTAAAGCATTAACTCATTGATTCGGAATAAATAATTAAAATACCATAAACTGTGAAAGAACCTGTTAGAAAAGAATATTCCATAATAGCCTTGATTGTATAATATAAGTTGCAGTAATATAATTAAGTCAAACGCAATATATAATGACAACACGCCATCTCTGGTATTCGTTTCATTTGAAAAAATCCTTTATAATTATTATCCTATATCCATGGCAAAATTATACCCACATAACAGTGAAAGAACATTCATATTCTCAGAATATTCCCTCAAAGTGCTTTTTGGAATGTTCTTTTAGGAATGTTTAATGAATATTCTAAGAGTTTCGATTGAAATATTCATTTTTGAACGTTCTATTTATGTACTAGGAATGTTGCTTTTTTGCACCTACCTAAAAGATTGTGCTAAGAACCTACTTTATATAACATTATTTGAATATTCTCATACGAACATTATTATAATGTACCCTAAAAAATGTTCTTTAAGCTAATATCTCTATCAAGTATTAAGAATATACCTACCAAGTTGTGCTGAGAAGTTTATGTAGGTAGGTAACCATGATAAGAATATTTTCATATTGTTCACCTAATCATCTAAAGTACCTACTCAAAAATCTTAATTGAACAATTAAATAATAATGCTCTATTTAGAACCTACTAAGAATATGATAGGTATATTCTTTTTCTTTTGCTTTGTATGACTTCCAAGAGAGGGAGCCACACGCTATTAAAGATCTACATCTTGCCTCGCATTTGAATCACCTTGAAACCTGTTTCTCTCAGTTGGCGTGCTTCGACGAGAGCATAACAAGCTCGAAACCGGAGTTTTGGTTAAATACTTGTGTTTTCTAGAGAAGTTTTCCAACAACAACTCTTTCACTGCCTTTAATATAAAAGGGCTGAAACGAGCATTATTTGGATGCGAAAATTAACATTCCAAGTATATCCTTAGAATCAAGCAAGAATATTATGTCTAGGATGCATATGCCATATTGAGAATGATATATGTAGATATATTCTAAGAATATTTCAAGCATATTGGTATAATATTCTTTTGAGAACATAACTATAATGTCATAGAAACATTCTTTGAATGTGAGAATATACATTTCGAGCATATTTTTAGAATCAAACAGGAATATTCTTTTCAGGATGTACTGAGAATCTCATAGGTATATTCTAGGAATATCCTAATGGATTTACCAGGAAATTCTTGGGTATTGCAAACAGTATTTCTACAATCTTTTCTCAGAACATTCTCAGGACATTCGCAATGGTTTTGGCGAACATTCTAGGCACATTCCTCCTAAAAAAAGAACATTCTTAATACATTCTAAGGATGCAATTTTGTTATGTGGGTATATTCCTGAAAGGTGTTTGGGTTGGGGTTTTATAGTATAAATAATAATATTCTCAGCAAAATTTAGATTTTTAGTATTTGAACTCTATGTAATTGATATATACAGTGTGTCCTAATTTAGATCCTCACCATTGGGATTTTGGTTATTATGAGAGATACAGAGTCAGTTATATTGGGAAAGTCTGCTTATTCAGAATCTGCTTTTGAGTTTTATTAATAATAATAATTTTAAAAAAATCAGCGAATTGAATTTTCTTTCGCATTATCTCAAAAACTTGTAATTTGACATCTGTCAAACTGTCACCGGATAGATATTACATGTGCTTTCAAAAAAACATTGTACAGATAAGTGTGCAGGATGTCAACATTGAAGGAATGGTCTCGAGAGGCTGCCCGCAGGGAGGCGTGCTATCACCTCTTCTGTGGAACATATGGTTCTGGACAGCCTCATTGTTCGCCTAAACAATGACAACCACTACACAATAGCTTACGCAGATAACGTAGGTAGTCATCTTGCAAAGATGTAAATTCGAGAACTCGCTCTGCAAAAATCCGACCTTTTCACAAAAATACACACATCTGAAGTTCGTTTCACCAATTGGGAAATATTCAATAAACACAATCACCATTATTGGTCTACCGAAAATTGAGATTAAAAATGTTAGGTATTCGAAAATGAAGGGCACACGAAAAAATGAAGTTGCTTGTTCAAGAACAAAAGCCGATAGGTGATTTCAAAGATTCTAACATTTGATAAAGTCAAGGTATGACAGACGTCAAATCAATAGTTTCTGAAATTTCCTTACATTTTTAGAACAAGAGCTTGATTTGAAGGTACTGAAAAGTAAATGATTGTACAGGGTTATTGATTAAATGTCACCCCCTCTATCTTTTTTATTTGACATTTTAGAAAGAAGTGTCTCAAATAAAAGTTTTATGGTTGAAATTAATTTTTTTGAAAAACTCACTTTCGCATATACAGGGTGTTTCAGAAAAGTTGACCGTACTCCAACTTTCTCATTTTAAATGGAACAACCTGTATGTTATTGAATATTCGGATTCTACGTAAAATTCCGAGTAGATTTTATATGATATACCCTATACCTAAGTTCAACGGTTTGAAAATATTGACAGTTGAAAATTGACTTTTTTGCAACTTTGACAGGCTATAAAACCTTAACGGTTAACTTTTGAGCAAAACCGATCTTACAATTTTTTTTTAGATTTCCATAAGCTATCATTTGACACCAACTTTGAATTTAACCGGAGATTAAATTCAATTGGAATTAACAATCATGGATTAAATTTAGTTGGTGTCAAATATTGGTGTCAACTGATGGTTTATGAAAATCCAAGATAAAAATGTGAAATGGGTTTTGCTCTAAAAGTAACCGTTGAGGTTTTTCAGCCTGTCAAAGTTGCGAAAAAGTCAATTTTCAACTGTCAATAATTCCAAAACAGTAGAACTTAGGTATGGGGTATATCACATGAAATCTGCACAAAATTTAACTTAGAATCCTAATATTCAATAAAAATAACATACAGGGTATTCCATTTAAAATAAGCAAGTTGGACCACGACGAGCTTTTCTGAAACACCCTGTATATGCAAGAATGAGTTTTTCAAAAAAATTAATTTCAACCATAAATTTTTTATTTGGGACAGTTTTTTCTAAAATGTCAAATAAGAAAGCTAGAGGGCGGTGAAATTTATAACCAATAACCCTGTACCTACCTTTTCTGTTTTTCACCTATATCTTTTTCCAAGTTGCCGGAGTTACGATTTATTGAAAATCGTTTTATGCTCTTCCAAAATACTGATAAGTATAGGTTGGCAACTGTGTGCGTTTCGGTCTGAGGTGACCTATTGATTTATTAGGATCTTTTGTCTTATTTCTATATCTTTCAATAACAACAATCAGAGTATTTCTGCAATATATAAAATAAAATAACAACCACCTACTTACCTACCAAAAATGAACAAGATATTTTCAATCTAGTAGATATAAAAGATGAAGGGTATTCACGCCATTTTTAGCAAATATGCTATTCGCAAAAAAAGCAATAGCTTAAGTCTTATTCACACTGTCCTTGTACTAAAATATAGTAATTCTCACCTGCAAAAGCGCTAGCCACTGCAGCAGCCAAAAACGACAAACACACCGCTGGTCCTGCAACGGTTTTTGCCACTGATCCTGCTAGAACGTATACTCCGAGACCTGGAAATAATTATTATTTATGTAACGTAAAACTGTATGGAGAAACGTGAAGAATAAAATGGCTTACCCAATGTAGCACCTACACCTAGAGCAGTCAAATCTAAAAGTCCTAAACATCTGTCCAATTTAGTTTTGCCATCATCGTCTGAATCAGTTTTTCGTCTTGTCAGGACTTGGAATATTTTGCAAGACATCTGAAAAACAAATGGACAAATGTCGACTTTATCAGAAGTAATGGAACAGTGCGAAATCGTACTCAAGTGTCAAATCAATTTCTCATTCTTCGATAATATAGGAATATTCAATAGAAAGATAAGCCAAGATTTAATCTTTATTTTATCACATTTATTATATGATTGAATCCGGGAAAATAATTGCCAAATTGTTAAGTATGTTAAGTACATAGATTTATCATTTGGTTTGATATATGTATATGTACCTGAGCAGCACTCAAAAAAAAATTTTTGTTCAATATTTTTGATTTAATCAAAAACATCTGTAATCTGATTTTTAATTATTTACTTTTTCTACCACTCAAGGTAAAGCTCCTTTAGATGGGAAAAACACAGATGCCCATTGCTCCAGTAACTAGCAGGCCTGGCTAAAGGGTCCTCCACACCGACGCAATTTAGCAATAGCGGAGCTTTCAAGAAACGCACTGCAGCAGAAACTTGTTCTTTGATTATTCCAAATAAGCGGTACCCAACGAATCGCTCATAGTGCGATGACTAACATCACAAACTATTTAAAAAAGTCATCTGACAAAAAATGCTGAAAATTGTTAGTTTTAGCTAAAGATGACTGGCGAAAAATCCTAGGTACTTCACTATGATGTCACACTTTATCTTCAATGTGGCATTGTTCTGTATTTTCAATCATTCCCTTAGTCATAGACAAAATGTTTGGCGATTAGCGGTCGGATCGATGTGAGTTTGTCGCCGTAATGAAAGAATGTCTCAGCCATGAGATGTCAACCTGGCTCACAGTAGTCTTAGAGGCACTACTGAACATGCCTCCTCTATGCCTTTGCGTAGGCAAAAAGGCAAGAATAGATGCCTGCGCGCTATTCCAGACAAAAAAAAAAAAAAACGTGAACCCCAACACGTTACCGGGGTACATAGATGCAGAGAGTCGGCTTGAAAATAAATTGACCACACTTCAACCTCTCCTTAGCGGTAAGAAAAACGCCCACGCCCAAAATTTCAAACCGAACTGCTCTTCTGCCCAAGAGTGCCTTCAAAAAGCTTTCACAAGAGAACATTTCCATCCTGTCAAATAGCCAGGCGGCTCTAAGCTCTAGGATTTATCAAACACGCATCACAGCTAGTTTGCGAAGGCAGAGTAGCATGGATGTGGGTGCCTGCATGTTAATGCATAGATGGCAACGAAGAAGTAGACTCTCGCGAAAAAAAGGGGCTTCAATACTTGTCTATTACCCAGAGCTATTCAGGCTATGCAACCTGAAAGAACCGATTACATGGGAAAAGAACAAACTGCTAACTCATTGGAGTTCCACTCGATTCCTGAGACAGGCAAAAACATTTATATCCATCTCAGCAAAAAAAACTTCTCGACATGCACAAAAGAAACATTAGAACACCCGTTGAGGTGCTCACTGGGCATTGCCTATCAAAGTATGACTTAGAAACTGTAGGCAAAGCAGAGAATGAATTTTGCAAATTTTGCGAACAAGCAACAGAAACAGCAGAACATCTACCCTTGGAATGCACTGCTCAGTGCAAGACGCTTAAAGGGGGTGTGACCCTAAAAAATGATTAAGGCTACTTAAATCAAGAAAAAAAATCTAAGATCTCTCGTGAAAACCGCAGTTCTATATTCAAAGTTGATCCCGGGAAAATTCCTTGTGAAGATAAATTATGCAGGAACTTGCTACGTCACAACCGCCAAAATCGCAGTCTTCTGTTCGTTCAGTCGTCAGTGAACCGTACCCTATACTTGAGTGGTTGCAATTCGCTCTAGTGAGATAATTGTCTTTTGTTTTGGAAAATTCTTACACGTGTTAATACTGTGCCTGATAATTCGGTATGACGTCACAAACATCTAGTTGTAACTTTTAACCGCCCTAACTCGAAAACAGACCATCGTAGCAAGATGCGGTTTAAATAATTATTCTTAGATTTTTTTTGCACTAAAACTCACATTTTTGGGTCACACCCCCTTTAAGTATTGTGAAAGAGCACGGCAATCGTCCCAAGAACAGAGCTGCATACAACCCAGGAAGCTGGCTCCATCTAGGAGGTGCCAATAAATCTAGAAGTATCAGAGTTGTGCACAAATTATAGATGCACATAAGATAAGTAGGTATACAATTATGACGAAAATGGGTGAAATACAAAAAAAAAAAATTAAAAGATTTTTTTTAATTCAATTTGCGTTTTCAAGCTGATTTTATTGATATGAATTTTGATGAGTTTATCTTCATTTTTGAACTTGAACTTGAAAACAGTGAATAAGCTTCATATCATTAAAAAGCCCTCTTAAAGGCTTTTTAATAGGCTAATGAATGTGTTATTTAAAAAAGAAATCTTTTAGGTTAGGTAACTGCTCAGAAAATATATCGTGATTTTCTAAGAATAGGTACTTGATTTTGGATTGTCAGGTGACGTAATGTGACATGACAACGACACGTCGATTATTGTTTCCGGTAAGGATTTTTACATAGTGGAGGATAAGGAATTTCAACTTTAGAAAGGAACCAAAAAAGTTCCTAGATTGACGCAATTTTATATTATAAGTGGGCGGTAAAAAAAAGCTTGCTCATCGAGTGAATCGATGTCAGGAAAATCATCCTCGAGTTCGTTATCAATGAACTCATCGTCGTGTGCAAAAGTGCAACGAAAATCGCGAAACCACATCGAAACGCAGGGAATGTGGAAGAAAAACTGAAAAGTTTAAAACTACTGGAACGGTAGGTAGGTATGTGGAAAATGTGAGAAATTCGAAAAAGCGTTATTCCGGTTTTCGATCCGCAAGACACTGACCAGTGTATTGAAAAGTCGGCGACGTCGATGATCTTACAAAATATTTTGGACGCAACCGCTAGGTCATCCAGTTTAAGCAACACCAATGAGCTTTATTTGTATTATGAAACTTAGGTTTTGTTAATACATTAGAACATGAAAAAATTCATAATCAACCAAGTAGGTACTTCATCTAGTAAACGTCTACTTGAGAAATAAAACAAACTGCCAAATGAACACATAAGTTGTTGTTATTGTCAAGGACTACATTCCATTTTAAAAATTCTACTGAACCCAAGCTGGAGTGTTTTTGTTGTGAAAACCTATGATAAAACAAAATAGCTGTCAGAAAAGTGTACTTTTCAACTGAAAAGGTTTATATTGGTTGAATATATCCAGAGCTGCAAGGTGGCAAATTTGTATTTAATGCCATGATAAAAATGGATAGGGAGGAATGGATATATCCAGAGCTGCAAGGTGGAAAAATTGTAATCAATGCCATGATAAAAATGGTTAGGGAGGAATGGACTAAGAGAAATAATTGTTGGTTTGTCAAAATGCAACATTTTATTTCAAAATCCGTGACTGCATGCTACAATTGTTGCTACTAAAGATATTAGACATAAAAATCCCATACCCTTTCATTTTATCCACAATTATCATGTGTGGCCTTTCGAAGTGGAAGAAATATACCTACAATATTTGTAATATGTAGATGGATTTATGAAATTTTTAATTATTAAAAGTAAAATTCACAAATCAACAAAGCTGTTGAAAAAATATTAGAGTCTGTAATGTGTTAATTTGGCGTTCCCAGTCGTAAGCGTCCATGGATCCAGTTTAACATCCAAAACTTATACAGGCTATTCTATATAAAGTATAAATGCAGTAGCTGTCGAAGAGCCAACGGACAATGTGAAAAATATAATTGAACAATATCAAATATGATAGCCACGTCAGCAGCAGACAACGGAATGCAATTTGGGATAACAATATCAAAAATATTCGCACCGCTATTAATACAGCCTTTTATAAAGCCATTGATAGTACCTCTACTCAAGTAATGTTTGGGCATTTACCAATATAATACACAGCTGAAGGCTGAAGCTCAACTGATAAATGCCATCCAGATTGATCTTGATAGATTCAATATCAGAAAGTTGAAGGATTAAATAAGGGAACGTATATTATTGAAAATCAGAGAGATATGATAAAACCAGGAAAGAATTCCACCTTTTAAGATTCCACAGTTATTGATTATTAAACGGTATGAAGTGGAGGACTTAAGAGAAGGTCGTACCAATTCAATAAAAACTTCTGTGGTTCCCGAACCAGTGGCGGATCTAACATGAAGCAAACGAGGCACTCTGCGTCGGGCCCCCAGAGCTGAGGGGCCCCCACACAACCGAATTCTAAAGGCATCGATAAAAAAAAAACTCAAAAAAATTTAAAAAAAACGAAAGTTTTGAAAGAGAAGCAACGTTGTATACCTCTAGGGAATCCTGCTGGAAAGAGGAGCATCCGCCGTTGCCAAATGTATCGTTATAGGTTAGGTAATGTTGCGGTTGCGCACGTTATTACTTCGATTTCTACGATTACTTTCACAGGCATGGTGGTAGGGACCAGTTGGGTTACGCACGGTTTTTAGGGTAAATGGACTCAGATTCGATTCGCGTTAGAGGCAATAATTTTTTTTTAAGGTTTTTAATTTTTTCAAAGATTATTTAGATGGCGGGCGGGTTTGTTTGGATATGCTCTTTTTGTTCAAAATACCAACATACAAAGACTAGCAGTCATTACGATACATTTTGCAACGATGTCTCGAGGTCTCTTATTCCGGCTCTCCTTATTAGTTATTTCTGCGAATAGATTTTACACGGCTTTTCCAGCTATTGTCTCCCAACCAGCCTCCAGAGATAATTTATGGCACTTGTTGGTGGAGTACGGACAGTACAGTACGGTGCTTTTTAGTTTTTGTTTTTGGTGGCTTTGGTGTCTGTGTGGGTAGGTACTAGTGAAGTAGGTCTCATGTTTTCATATTATCTCATATGTTCCTAATACACTTGTTTTTGAATTAAATCTGTTTTCATATTTGGCTGTAAAAAACTTCAAAAATATAAATAACTAATTTGCACACTCGCCTCATACCCCAACACCACAAGAAAAATACCTAAAAAAGTATGAAAGGGCCCCAAATTTTTTTTTGCGTCGGG